TTATTTTTGGCTTCTAAAACCATAATAAAGGCTCGAGCACCTGGGAAATGCATGGTCATGAATGTATGGGATTTAGCCGGATGATCATTGATCATGAGCTACATGTATGAGTACCTCTTTGAATAAACAGCTCATTTTCATTTGTTAGGTGTACAGTATACTCCTCTGCCAGCTGGTGGTTACAATAGCTTTCATATGCTTCTTCCTGTATTGGTAGGTAGATAGCTTACCTTGTTTTATGCTAAATAATATCATTGGAGGTCATTTTGAAAAATTTGGATTCCAAAATTTCTTTTCAGTAACCAAGCATCGCAATATACTGTTTATCATGACCCTATGAGAAAATGGTGAAGTTTGTTCCCCTAGACAAGAAATATTTGCCTTGGCTCTGCCAGGGGAATCTTAAGGGGCTCCAAGGGTTCTCACAATGTTCTGAAGTAGGCAGCTTTATTTTTGGTGTAAGGGAGGTCAGCCTTACAGCTTCCTTTCGGCTTCCACTGTACTGCTTCATAATCCTTCCATCTGGAGGCCCTTCCTCTCCCAGATCTAGTTCATTTTGAAGTTTCATTAGTGCTTCTGCAACTTGATTTTGTTTTCTAGATGAGGGTGTTGGCCCTAAGCAAACCCATTTATCTCTTGGTGAGGTAAATGGGTGGCTTTATTGAGAAAGGGCAACTGATTTTGCCATTAGCCCACCAAAGTAGCCAGCCAAGATCATGAAGTACAGCAGATGGTTATTGTCACTTGTAGCAAACTACTTTTTAAAAGCCTGGCTTACTATTTCTTTTGGGGCCAGTTATCCAAGCTACCCTTTTCTATTGGAGGAGAACACACATTTATCATAATTATAAAAACCACTGAAGTTTTTGTTGCTTTGTACACATAAATTTGGGAGTCAACAGTTTAAGATATAAAATTATGTCTGTAAGCAAAATATAAAGTTGACCCATCAATCAAAGATGGACTTGAAATTCATGTCATTTTCAGTTCTAAGTGGGCTATAAGAAGATTTTAATTAGTGGCTTGGTCTTCACCAGGCAACAATAAAGGGGAAACAAAACCTCCTGTTTCTTGAGTTTAGAGCTACTGCTAGTCATTAAGTGATTATTATAATTCTATTTAATATTTTTCTTCATCAGTGAGCCCGTTCAGCAATATGCAAATAATCATGTAGGATTGTTTTATGGAGCATTGTAAGTATACAATGTAGTTATTACTAGATCAAACTTTATATTAAAAACTGTTTATAGAATGTTGTAGAACTTTAGGTAAATGTTATTGCTCTGGCTATAGATAAATGTGTTTATTATGTCTGTGAGTTACTGTTTTGCATTTTGATAAATGTAGCAAACTGTATGAGTACAGCCAACTAACATTTAAAGTTGTTGTTAGTGTCACCAAAATGTTTTGTAACAATTTGTTTCCAAGTTTTGGTAATGTTTGTAAAGCAAATACAGTAAGCATTCGAAAGTGTTCATTTTATTTAACTTTTGATAACTTGTATTAAAACATGTTTTAATACTACTTAAGAGCAGTTTTAAATAGACTTGTTTTATTGTTGGCTAATGTCCCACTCAATATTTAACCACTCCACCTGACTGGAAGTGGTTTGTAACACCCATCAGACAACTGTACCTCGTCTCATTGACTCTACCTGTAAGTTACTGAGCCTTGTTTTTCCCCCTTCAATTTGTGGTGTGCCCACTGTGTGCTTGGGCTATAAACTGAATGGGATAAAAGTAAGTCTATAACTTACCGTTAGGGTATATAATGAGTGTTTTACATCTTATGCTTACTTGCAGATATAATTTTGTTTTCAGGGGGGTCACATTTGTCACCATGATTGCCATGGCTTGCTGTGAAAATGTGAGGTTAGCTGGTTTTCGGTGTTGATCATAACTTTCGTTTTATTGTGTACATATAACAGCTACACTGATAAAGGATAAGGAGGTTTGAGTCTGTTGCAGATTACCCAGCATTTATTCAGGTGGCCCTAACTTGTCATGGGTACTCATGCTGAACACAACTGAACACTGAACACAACAACTGAGACCTAAACTTCTTGATCCACAAGAACTAACCAGTTAAGTCACTAGTCTCCCAGGGGTCTCGAATGGTGTTCATAAATAGAGTCCTGCCAACATTGTCTCAAGTATCTGCCTTGAAAATTGGAGAATAGGGTATCGGTTGTCAGACAGGTCCTTTCATATCACAGAAACCTGGAATGTCCCATTCTACAACCCTGGACAACAAAATTAGTTGCTTAATTTGTTCATGCAGAAATTGATTTATATGTTTTTACCGTTACAGACGGAATTTCCCAACTAACCTGATCTTTCTTTCACTTTTTGTAAGTACACAGTACATTCAATTCTGCTTTTATTTGCTACCCTGCTTGTGCTTTATGCATTATTTCGTAGTTCGTACATAGCAAGATGAGCAGGAGAAGCAAATTGCTCTTTGGGACAATTTTCTTTAGAAACTGATTGTTACAAATACAAATGCAATGTATCTCTTAAAGTTTTTTCTTGTTAAGATTTCCTCTTTTTTGTTTATTTTTAATGTGAGAACAGCTCAAAACGTTATTGACTACAATGTGTTTCCACTGACAGCATATGGGGTTGTGTCCTGGTGTACCAGTTTTTGCACTAAGGGAATATTACCATTGTACTGCCTCTTTCCATGAGCCAGCTTTGTTTAGCTGTTGTATGTTGTTGGGTCTTTTGTATCGGTTTTTGCGTACACAAGGACAGAACCGTATATGATTGTCGCAAAGTAGTGACAGTTATATTTGTGACTTTGTAGATTTCATAAATTAATGATCCTTTGGTAGTAATGTTTTAATTAATCATAAATTAATCTAAACTATTATCCTCACATTTTTGTTTGTAGACACTTTGTGAAGGATATCTTCTTGGTGCTGTTTCAAGGTGATTACTGTATTTATTTTGTCCTATTTCATTAATTTTGATATGAACTCCTATTTCGAGAGGGTATCCCTAGTTTGGATCAAGTGAGGATTTGCTTAGCACTGGGCGTGGTTTGCATGTCTTTTGTGGTCAGGGTATACAATTAATTGTTTCTGTAGTAACCTGAATTACAATTGTAAATGTTTACCATATCTTTTAATTCTTTAGTTTAGCGCAGAATTCAACATGTTTCAATTTCTGAAATGTCAGGGGAATTTAAATTTTGGTTGTCATCGAAAATCCAGTACAAAAATATATTTTAAGGTAAACAGATAAGATAAGAGATAAGAGTTCTGTGGATCTTATTCCATTTGCTTTTAGTTATAAATTTATAGTCTAGATGCGTGGAGTGAAAGGTCTGATTGTTATTGTTACTTTTTTTGTGCAGTGTGTATGATAAAGATGAAGTGCTGATGGCTGTGGGAATTACTGCTGTAAGTTTGTAATGTGAAAATAAGGTAAAAGGTAAAGTCTGCTTACGAGCCAAGTGGCCCATCAGGCTGGAGCTTATACTGGTTTCTATAGCATGAAGTGACTAGGAATATTTCCTTTCCCCTGTGGATGGGATGCTAGTCTATCGCAGGGTTACCCCCAACATTAAATTGGGCAGTACCCATTTGTACACCTGGGTTGAGAGAGGAACTGTGAGAATAAAGTGTCTTGCCCAGGAATACAACACATTGTCCTTGGCCAGGGCTCAAACCCAGACCGCTCAATCTGGGGTTAAGCCCACTGACCATGAGGCCACTGTGCCTCCACAATGTGAAAATAATGCTTTTGAAAAGTGGAAAGTTACTAAAACTGAAATGAAAGTTGTAAGTATTCATTATTGTAGTAATTCCCTTGTTTTTTTCCATCATAGGTTGTTGTTCTGGCAATTACTATCTTTGCATTTCAAACAAAGGTAAGGGATGATACTCTTCATTGTACAATCCCCCTGCTTTTGGCAACTAAATAATGCTATTAAGGTTATTATCTATTGACAAGAGCCTCTGGCTCTGATGACACCAATCATGTATTGCACTATATTTGACAAATACTTTAATGTGCTGGACATTTAGGTTGTTGACCAGGAATAGCTGTTATTGAAGTTATCAGCAGTTTGACATACAAACAAGGCAAAGGGGTTAATTCTGCATTGTATTGACCTGTTTGCCTCGTTTGTATGCCTTTTTAAACAAAGGAATATTTGACTGCAGGCTCAACTGCAGTAAGAGCTATTGGGCAATGCTGATAACTATGTTGATTGTATATTTTGTGCAATATAAGACCTTGTGCAGTATAAGAATAAGATTATCATCTATTCAGTGTTTCTTTGGAACCTTCTTATTTTGACAGTATGACTTCACCATGATGGGAGGTTTCTTGTTTGTGGCACTAATTATCCTCATTTGCTTTGGCTTTTTGATGATTTTCTTTCACAGCAGGGTAGGTACCACTGTCCAGAGAAAAATTATAAAAAAGCTCCAATAAATTGTAATTTTCAAATTTTTAAGTGTCTAGTAGTATGTCAAGAGTAAATCTGAATGATATGCAGGGCTGTCATTAAGTTTTGATTCACCTGGAGCCTTGATCTTCACACCTGTAACAACTTTGTTACTTTATGGGTGAATTGTATCAAGTACAACAAGTTCACCTGTAACATCAAGGGCCCATTAAGCATGCTCAGCTGTAACAGGTGTTATAATGGGTTATGGCCCTTATTGACTGACCTGAAATGTGATCACAAGTACAAATGTTGTGTTTTAGGTCCTGTCCATTGTTTATGCTTCACTTGGAGCTCTCATATTTGCTATGGTAAGTCTAGATAACTTGTGGATATTTCTGATACGACTATTTTTAATTTAACTTAAAAAATAGCGAAGACAATTATGGAGAACCTTAAAACCGTCTGGTTAAAAAATTTATAAAAGTAAAAGTAAAGTTAACTGGTTTTAATTGGTTTTAAGGTTTTCAACATTTTTTTAAAATTAATTAAATTATATAGCAAACCTCTTCTACATACTTTTAATTTTGTAATTGTTATGTAAAGCCTCTGTACATGTACAGACACATGTACACGGACTTCGAGGTGTTTGAAAATGTGGTCAAACACTGTCTTGAGTGTGATATATCTTCTCAATTGAAACTAAAATTAAAAAGAAAATGGAGAAATAAAATCGTGAAAATCTATGCTAATTAAGATCAGAAGACTATCACAGTCATGATTTCCTTTGTTAAAAGTTATGAATTATTAATGAGTTTAAGAATGGTGTGTGAAGTTCGTTGTGTTATAATTTTCTTTCAGTACTTAGTGTACGACACACAGATCATGATGGGAGGCGGCAAAATGTACTCCATCTCTCCCGAAGAGTACATCTTTGCTGCTTTGAACTTGTACCTGGATATCGTCAACTTGTTCTTGTACATCCTACAGCTGATCTCAGCTGCGAGAGATTAACAANTGTTGTTTTATCAAATTAGGGACTGGTCAAAAAGTATGGGGGAGTGGGCCGGAGCAGAGAGGGGGTGGGTGATGAGTTTTTAAGCTCTTAGAGAGGGGTGGGTCGTTCGATTTTCAGCGACACGTAGGGGTGGGTCATCTTATTTTAAAACAGGAATAGGCGCTTACTTAAAAGTACTGTTTTTAAGAATGGAAAACTTGATTCTGCTGCAAAAGTTGACCACACATTTAAAGCGTTGCAGCGTTACCGATGTGTAATTTATTTTTGTACCTATTAAAATTACATCTAACTGAAATTAAAATGATAAAAAAACTTCCCTTTTGTTTCTTTTTTTCACATATAAAAAGAATGAATTTGTTACAATATGAAAGGAATGCTTTTTTTTTGCATTTCACAGCTATATTGTTCCTTCTACGAGACTACAAGTAAAAGCAACTTAAATTTATCATGGATTATAAACAAGAACTGTAACTGGTTATTGTGTATTTCTCATCGTGAACGTTTCATAATTATTGAAAAAAAAGCATTTCTGTACTGTTCCCTAAACTCTGCCTGCTCAACCGTCATCAGTTCCTCTTGCTCTTCAAGTTGATCAATGCTCCCTTCTCCGCTGTCTTAATCGCTGCTACTTTGATCACCCGCGCTCTCTCCCTTCCCACTCTCTTCCTCGTTGCTCTCTTCATCTTCGAGGAGAAGACAACATCCCTCTAGCACATCTTACTTCCAACAGATGGAGTGACAGTGACAGTGATGTGCCATTAAGCAAACTTGGCAATAAAAGCTAAAAGAGTAGTTTGATGCCTTTGTACATAAGCTAAAAGAGTTTTAACATGCTTTTGTATCTGTTTAAGAAATAAAGTTTGTTTCCATTGACTAATATGCAAACCAAATTTTTATGTTTTATAAGGGGGGTGGGGCATGTAATTTTCAACCTCCATTTAGGGGTGGGTCAATTAGTTTTGTGCCAAAAGGAAGGGGTGGGCCATGTGTCTTTTATCCACCACATTTCCAAATGCTCCGGCCCACCCACCCTCCCCCCCATATTGTTTGACCAGTCCCTTAACTATTAAAACAAGATTAACTGTACCTCTACATGTTGTTTTTCTCCAAGAGGAATACGTCTGAAAGTCTAAATGGTACGCGGGATTAAAATACCGAATGGCTGTTTTTGTTTGCTAGGCTAAATAGTGTAACAAGTGTAATGGAAAGAGCTGGTTAGAGTTTGGTTAAGTTTTGAATGTACCGAACACGGTATTACACTCACTCCACGGCCTTTGATCGGCGCGATTAACTCTTGCAAGCTTGCAAGCGCAGGAAATGTCGCGCACGCCAAAATCATGACTCGTGAGAACAACTGTTAAAGAACCGTAGATAAAACCAACAGCAAGTGCAAAGATATGTGCGGGCTAAGCTTTAGTGTTACGTTGAACAGCCACGGATTATCACGAGACAAACCCAAAACAAACTAAAATAACACAGCTTCTCAATACATTAAAGTTGTTCGTTTAGCAAAAAGTCCGGGTTGACCCACGTGACATTGAGCCTCCTCGGGCCGCCATTTCAATGTCACGCAACTCTAATGACTTGAAATTCAACCTTGTTGAATGTTCTGTTACCAAACGAAGAACCTTTTTGAGCTAAAACGTTGTAAAAGGTCAGGTTCTGAGAGGGTCTTATATCTGATGGTCCTAAAACCTCAGAAGAATAAGTAATTTTTAACGAGTAATCACGTAGCTGGAGCGTTGGAGTTAGAGTAGTTGGTTGGGGAAGAAATAACTCACTCGGCCGATGGGTCGTAAACTATTTTTGGTGATTCTTTTAACTCCAAGACTTGAGTCAGACTTATAAAATTATTATCATTATATGATCAGCTTGTTTTACCCTTGACCCACCCCTCGGCTGTGGTGTATATTTTTTCAAGGCCCACGCCTTTTTTCATGCATAAAAAAGGGGGTCCACCCCACCCCCCTTTACTCTACTCCCCGAATAATATTAAATGTAAATTAATGATTGCTGTAAAATCATGCAACCAATTGTAGCATACCGTGAACTCGTCAAAATCTTTTTGTTCACCCTTGTCAAATCTATAACATGTAACCTGTCCGTTTCGAATATCACGAGTTGGACTAATTTTAAGGCGGACTCCGCTCAAAGCTCGAGCAATAAGTACAAAAATTATTTACTAGAAGTCTACACATAGTACGGTAAGTATTGGAATACTATTTGATATAACTCACTTTTAATAGTTCATTTCTCTAAGTGACTCGACTCCGCTATTAAATTCTTAAACATTCTCGAAAAAGTTAATGACTGTCAAACTTCGTAAGAATGCTTAAAGCGTGTGTTATTGTGTTTAACCAACACGAAAGGTCTGTTTCACGGATAACTTTCCCTCACGAGGTCAGCTTGAGAGCTGAAGTCTAGATTTAACAAATTAACGTCAGTTTTTCATGCGTCTTTCTTGTTGTTGATCATGAATCTCGTCATAACATTGTCAAAGTAGCTGTGGATCCGTAGACTACTTTGACTATGTTATGACGAAAATCATTGACAATAACAGGACAGACGCATTAAAAACTGACGTCAATTTGTTTTTTAGGGTAACAAATTGTCTAATTGTCTTCTCACGCTCGTTTACGCATCGCATAAATAAGTTCATGTAAGTTCATATGTCTGTCCGCTTATTGACAATGAAAATTAGTTCCACTTTTAAGTAGAACTTCAGTTAAAACTGAAGTCACGAAGTATTACCGTGCCAAGAGGTTTTTTTGGTAACTTAATTTTTGCCATTATTGCTCGAATGTTCTGCGGAAATCATCTTAATTTTGGAATACATGGAAACCACCAGTCGCTTGTGTTTTTTTTTGTTTTTTTCATTCACGCGGCGTAATCCGCGACGTAACATTCACTGGCTCACGCGGGTAAACTAGACCAATCACCGCTGAGGTGACGTCATGTTATCCAAATTTGGCGCGCAGTGTACCCGGAAGGCTTTCACTTTATTGGGTTCTTCATCGAAAGATTCATATAAACGCGGTCTTTCATCCTACTTTGTATATTTATGAAAAACTGAAAAGAGGGCCGATATACAAAAGCGATCATTTCTTTTCAGAAAGCATCCAGTGAGAGCTAGAAATATCTCAAAATGTATTACGATCCGGAGGCAAACAAATATGGCGCCGATTATGGCCCGTTCGACAACACCATGGCTTTCAGCGACGTCTCAATACGTGCAGGTAAATTTATTTTTAGCGTTTTGAATCCGAAAGAAACAAAATTTCAATGTAATTTTTTCTGTCTACGTTACTAAATTGTGCTTCTTTTTCTTCTGACAGGCTTCATACGAAAGGTAAGCTCGCTTTATTGAAATTGAATTTCGAAACAGCTGTTTTGGAACTGTTGAAGACATGCAGATTTGCGTTCAACTGTCCTAATACAAGGGTAACCTGCTTTATGATTGAATCTTACGGTGAGTGCACTGACGTGAAGTGTTACTTCTTTCGATAAATCGTCTGGAAGTACAGGTCTAGCTAGCTTCAGACGTCATGCAGTCATTTTATCATTATGAATTCTTATTTTAGATAATTTAAGCTTAAGCTTACCTTATTTTTCAATTCAAAACAATAATGAATGTGATTAAGAGAACAGTAAACTGTGAGCTTAAGATGAAAGTAAAGAAATCGTGATCTGATATTGCATTTTCAGGTTAGAGGTATTTGAGTTTCCCCTGTAAATTCCTAGTAATTCGTTCTTCGCAAGCTGTGAAGAAAACCATGGAGTTTTAATATAGGCTAATTTATTCTAATAGATGCACATATTTACAAGATGCAGTTAAGGTGGCTCCCTAGAGTATTTATGAACACCCTCCCTATAGAGCGCAAGTTAGAAAAGGAAACTTAGTTAATTTCTCTTAGAGTTTTCCCCGTATAGATTTACCAGTATGGGTNTTTACCATATCTTTTAATTCTTTAGTTTAGCGCAGAATTCAACATGTTTCAATTTCTGAAATGTCAGGGGAATTTAAATTTTGGTTGTCATCGAAAATCCAGTACAAAAATATATTTTAAGGTAAACAGATAAGATAAGAGATAAGAGTTCTGTGGATCTTATTCCATTTGCTTTTAGTTATAAATTTATAGTCTAGATGCGTGGAGTGAAAGGTCTGATTGTTATTGTTACTTTTTTTGTGCAGTGTGTATGATAAAGATGAAGTGCTGATGGCTGTGGGAATTACTGCTGTAAGTTTGTAATGTGAAAATAAGGTAAAAGGTAAAGTCTGCTTACGAGCCAAGTGGCCCATCAGGCTGGAGCTTATACTGGTTTCTATAGCATGAAGTGACTAGGAATATTTCCTTTCCCCTGTGGATGGGATGCTAGTCTATCGCAGGGTTACCCCCAACATTAAATTGGGCAGTACCCATTTGTACACCTGGGTTGAGAGAGGAACTGTGAGAATAAAGTGTCTTGCCCAGGAATACAACACATTGTCCTTGGCCAGGGCTCAAACCCAGACCGCTCAATCTGGGGTTAAGCCCACTGACCATGAGGCCACTGTGCCTCCACAATGTGAAAATAATGCTTTTGAAAAGTGGAAAGTTACTAAAACTGAAATGAAAGTTGTAAGTATTCATTATTGTAGTAATTCCCTTGTTTTTTTCCATCATAGGTTGTTGTTCTGGCAATTACTATCTTTGCATTTCAAACAAAGGTAAGGGATGATACTCTTCATTGTACAATCCCCCTGCTTTTGGCAACTAAATAATGCTATTAAGGTTATTATCTATTGACAAGAGCCTCTGGCTCTGATGACACCAATCATGTATTGCACTATATTTGACAAATACTTTAATGTGCTGGACATTTAGGTTGTTGACCAGGAATAGCTGTTATTGAAGTTATCAGCAGTTTGACATACAAACAAGGCAAAGGGGTTAATTCTGCATTGTATTGACCTGTTTGCCTCGTTTGTATGCCTTTTTAAACAAAGGAATATTTGACTGCAGGCTCAACTGCAGTAAGAGCTATTGGGCAATGCTGATAACTATGTTGATTGTATATTTTGTGCAATATAAGACCTTGTGCAGTATAAGAATAAGATTATCATCTATTCAGTGTTTCTTTGGAACCTTCTTATTTTGACAGTATGACTTCACCATGATGGGAGGTTTCTTGTTTGTGGCACTAATTATCCTCATTTGCTTTGGCTTTTTGATGATTTTCTTTCACAGCAGGGTAGGTACCACTGTCCAGAGAAAAATTATAAAAAAGCTCCAATAAATTGTAATTTTCAAATTTTTAAGTGTCTAGTAGTATGTCAAGAGTAAATCTGAATGATATGCAGGGCTGTCATTAAGTTTTGATTCACCTGGAGCCTTGATCTTCACACCTGTAACAACTTTGTTACTTTATGGGTGAATTGTATCAAGTACAACAAGTTCACCTGTAACATCAAGGGCCCATTAAGCATGCTCAGCTGTAACAGGTGTTATAATGGGTTATGGCCCTTATTGACTGACCTGAAATGTGATCACAAGTACAAATGTTGTGTTTTAGGTCCTGTCCATTGTTTATGCTTCACTTGGAGCTCTCATATTTGCTATGGTAAGTCTAGATAACTTGTGGATATTTCTGATACGACTATTTTTAATTTAACTTAAAAAATAGCGAAGACAATTATGGAGAACCTTAAAACCGTCTGGTTAAAAAATTTATAAAAGTAAAAGTAAAGTTAACTGGTTTTAATTGGTTTTAAGGTTTTCAACATTTTTTTAAAATTAATTAAATTATATAGCAAACCTCTTCTACATACTTTTAATTTTGTAATTGTTATGTAAAGCCTCTGTACATGTACAGACACATGTACACGGACTTCGAGGTGTTTGAAAATGTGGTCAAACACTGTCTTGAGTGTGATATATCTTCTCAATTGAAACTAAAATTAAAAAGAAAATGGAGAAATAAAATCGTGAAAATCTATGCTAATTAAGATCAGAAGACTATCACAGTCATGATTTCCTTTGTTAAAAGTTATGAATTATTAATGAGTTTAAGAATGGTGTGTGAAGTTCGTTGTGTTATAATTTTCTTTCAGTACTTAGTGTACGACACACAGATCATGATGGGAGGCGGCAAAATGTACTCCATCTCTCCCGAAGAGTACATCTTTGCTGCTTTGAACTTGTACCTGGATATCGTCAACTTGTTCTTGTACATCCTACAGCTGATCTCAGCTGCGAGAGATTAACAAGCTGTACCAACTGTAGCCCGCATAGTCGGCTTGGCTCTTCCCCTCCTCGAGATCAGCATCTAGGTTCTCATTAGCGTTTCAGTGCATTTTCCATGTTTCTTCTTGGAAGAATTTGGTTTTTTAGTCAGGGTGTTTCTCTTGAGGGGGTTTCAGACCAAACTTCAAAGCTATTCTGAATCAGAGTATGGTGCTTTAAATTGGCGGCCGTGAAAGTTTGATCTTTTTGTTCCCGGGGGACTGTCATATTAAAAGAACGGGGGTGCTCGTTAAATTTTGAAAAGAATTCCTAAGAGGTACCAAGATCCTGTTTTGTGGGTGTGGCTTGAACCCTAACAGGTACCAATTCTAAAACAAGTCATTATCTCTCGTCATCTTTTTTTCGGCTCAATACCCTAAAACGTGCCACAAAAGCTTCCGGTGTGGACCTTTTAAGGCTGAACACCATAAGAGATACAAAACTGCGTTTTTTTTTTTAACCCCAAAATGTATAACGAGCATCCCCGTCCTTTTATATGAGAGT